CTCTAAGCAGTTTACAGAGTCAGCCTATTTGCCCCCCAACAATCTGGGTCCTCATTTTACCCACCTGGGAAGGACGGAAGGCTGAGTCAACCTTGAGCCTGGTGAGATTCAAACTGCCAAACTGCTGGCAGCCGGCAGTCAGCAGAATTAGCCCAGCAGAATTAGCCTGCAATACTGCATTCTAACCACTGCGCCACCACAGCTCTTACCAGATTCTTGAATTCACCCATTCGGGAAGGAGTCTCGCGGTACATACAGGTAGTCCTCAACTTACAGCCATTCATTTAGTGTCCATTCAGAGTTGCAACAGCGCTGAAAATAGTGACGTACAACCTTTCTTTCACACTTCCGACTGTTGCAGCATCCGTCCTGGTCATGAGATCAAAACTCGGGCACTTGGCTACCGGCATGAATTTATGATGGTTGCAATGTAATGGGATCACCATTGGCAACCTTCCCAGGGGGAAGCAATGGACGTTGGGAGTTCAAGTGGGGTCATAAGCCAAGGACTGCTTGTATTAGGACATGCATTATGAATTAATAAGAGTCATGGAACACATATCCAAGAGGAAATCCAATTAAGCCCACTGTGATGGATGAATGCATCTGACAATTAGGAGCATTGAATGAACCAGCACTGAAATTTCTGGACATTGAAACATGATCAGTTACAACCCTGAAAATACAGGAGGCAAGACAGGGTTGGGTTTAGGGTTCATCAAGAAGATGCTTCCTTGGGGGTGAATCTTCCAAAATTCATGGCTGGGGCTCCCTTAAAAAAACATTAATTAATCTTGGCTGATCTTGGGCAGGGGGAGAAACCCAAGAAGCATCAAACTCGGTTAGTGCAGTACTTGGATTGCAGAATCCTAGATCACCACTAGAGGGCAGCAGGATGATACCAATACCCTTTCCCACCACTAGGGGGTCTTTTACAATGTTGCAGCTCAAGTACAGATGCCCCAGACCAGAGGGCAGCTTGGTGTAGTCATGAAGGCATTGGGTTAGAAACTGGGAGAGCCTGAGTTCTAAACCTGCCTTAGGCACAAAGCCAGACCGGTTGATGATTTGGGGCCGGCCATTTTCTCCACCCTAGAAAGGAGGCAATGACAAACTACGTCCCCAAAAAATCTTGCCCCAAAAGCTGCAGGCAACCCAAAGGAGATCTCTCTCCTTCTCTCGCTTTCCCTCCCTCTCTTTCCTTCTCTCTCTCATACAGACATACAGACATACAGACACACAACACACCCCTCTTTTTGCTCCCGTCCCAGGATCCCCTCCCTCAGTCCATTCCTCAGCCTTGGGCAGCAGCAATGTGGTGGCCAGCGAGAACAAATACCAGGTCATCACCGATCTCAGCCAGTTTGAACCTCAAGATATCGTGGTGACGTCCTACAACTACTGCATTGTCATCCAAGCTGAGAAGGTAAGAAGGACTGAGATATGCAGAGGGGATGAAAAGAAACCAGGACGTGAGGCCCTCTTCCCACGAAAACCCAATCGAGGGAGCCATTCAAGTGGGATTGGAATGTCGACATGGGTGAATTGCTCTGAGGGTCGTTAAACAGCTCACTCAATTATTACAATTAACTCCAAGCAGCACGGTCACTGATGAGGCTAAGCTAACTCTGGCAGACACCTGTGTGTCATGGGAATCCCTAAAGCAGGGTAGGCCAGTCTCAGTGAACGAACGATGATGGTTATTATTACGGTCGTTGTGCCATCAGTCAGAATTCAGCCTGGTTTTGACTTTATATCCACCTATCCAGGCCTAGGACCTGGGATAGGCCTATGGTGGTGTTGGGGGGTGTTAAAAGGGATCGTCCCGAGATGTAAGCTGTTCCAGGTAAAGCTGCCTTTTGCAATTGACTGGTGGCGATTTTTGTCAATGCCGATGGTGTTCAAGTGGTGCTCCAGATCAGGGGTGGGATTCAAAAAAATTTACTACTGGTTCTATGGGCGTGTCTTGGTAGGTGTGGCAGGGGAAGGATACTGAAAAATCCCCATTCCCTCCCATCCCACTAACCTGCTTTCCAGCTCCGTTCTCCTCTTCAGGGCAACCAAAGAAGGCCCAGCCAATCAGCTGGGACTCAATGGGAGGCAGAGAATAGATGGGGGCGGGGCCAGAGGTGGGATTTGCCGGTTCTCCAAACTACCCAACATTTCCGCTACCGGTTCTCCAGAACCTGTCAGAACTGGCTGAATGCCACCTCTGCCCTGGATCCTGAATTAACCCATTTTCTGCTTTCACACCACATTCAGTCCTAACCAGCCATAAAAGGAAAACCAAAATTAACAACAACCCCACTTTGCAATGTGGAAATATAATTTATTTCCCTGACTTAAGGAATCCATATGGATGCCACATGGCATCCATAAATCAGTTTATTTTCCAATAAGAATATATTGCTTTTGGTTAAGTCCACCATTCATATTATGCGGTGACTCTGATTGAAATTTATGGGACTTCGACTTACACCCATAATGGAACCTTCCCGTTGTGGTCGTAAATCATGATAGTCATAAAATGGGACATCCTGCAACCAAGCCGATTTGTACAACTCTCTTTTTGCAGAAGTCATAAAGCAAATCAGCACGGTCAATAAAATAAACCTTCAGTTATTAAGTGAGCCCACTGTGTGCTAGGGGCAACTGGTATACCATATTTTCAGTAAAGATGTTGTAAAATGAGGTCACAGGATGTTACACATAGTTGTCAATGAAGGCTGGTTGCCAAGCCTGCAAAATGTGATAATATGATCAGGTGTGGTACTGGCCATTGGAACAATCCTAGGCTGCATTAACAGAGGGATAGAATCAAAATTACGTGAAGTATTGATACTGCTTTATAATGCCTTGGTTAAGACCACACTTGGAATACGGCATCCAGGATTGGTTGCTATAACATAAAAAAGATATTGAGATTCTGTAAAGAGGGCAGAGAAGAGCAACAGAGATGATGAGGGGACTGGAGGCTAAAGCATATTTAAAAACGGTTGCAGGAATTGGGTATATGTCTCGTTCCGTGATGGCGAACCTGTCGCACGCATGTCAAAGGTGGCACACAGAGCCATTTGTGCCGGCACATGAGCTGCAGGCAAACTTACTTCACTATGCATGTGGGCACCTGATTTTTGACCGGTTTGAGGCCTTTTTTGGCCTCCCAGAGGCTTCAGGAAGCTGCAGGCTTTTCAGACAGAAAACGGCCCATTTTTTGTCACTTCCTGTTTTTCCGGAAATACCGAAGTGATTAAACGGGCCTAGTTTTTGGCCTGAGAAGCCTGCAGAAGCCTTCCTGAAGCCTCTGGGAGATCGAAAAAAGCCTCAGACTGGCCCAAAATCAGCTGTGAGGCGCAGTGCAGATAAGGGGGGTGGCAGGGGCAGGAGGGGGGATTGTGCATGCATGCGTAGGGAGCATAGGGGGCGCATTGCCTTCTGGGTGATGGCATGCGAGCACGAGTGTGCAAGCGTGCATAGAATTTTTGGCACAGGAGCCCAAAAAGGTTAGCCCCCACTGGTCTAGTTTAATGAAAAGGAGGACTCTGGCTGACATGATAGCAGTCTTCCAATATCTCAGGGATTCCCACAAAGAAGAGGGAGTCAAGCTATTCCCCAGAGCACCTGAAGGCAGAACAAGAAGCAACGGATGGAAACTAATCAAGGAGAGAAGCAACCTTAGAATTAAAGAGAAATTTCCTGACAGATCAATTAACCAGCGGAACAACTTACTTCCATAAGTTGTAAATGCTCGAACACTGGAATTTTTAAAGAAGAGGACAGCCATTTGTGTGAAATGATATAGGGTCTCCTGCTTGAGCAGGGGGTTGGACTAGAAGACCTCCAAGGTCCCTTCAGCTCTGTTATTCTGTTAACTTCACAACTGGGCTCGAGGTAATTTTTCAGGGTTCCATTGCAACTTTGAACAGCTGCTAAGTAACTGGCCGTATGTATTACGTTCGCTCAAATCTTACCCATTGCCTAAGCTCATGTAAAACAAATCAGTTTTTTTGGTCTCAGTGTGCCGTATGTTTTCAAACAGCACACTTAACCTGATTACTGCACGGACTCGTGTTTTAAAGTTTGTGCCACGCCTGAACAAAAACCCCTCGTCGGGGTGAACCGAAGTCAAGATCCCTCTATTATGCAAATGCATCTTTGTCTGATTTGAATTAAAATGCTTGCATAAACTTAGTCACAGACCGGGAAGCGAGTGGGGGAGCATGAGAGGGAAAAGAAGGACATGGATTGAAGGCAAGAAGAGAATGTAGGAGGTTGCCATAAAAAAGGAAAGAGGGATGTCCATCTTTTTTTCGTTTTAATTCTGTTTGTCTTCTGCTTATTTTCAGTGATGTACTAATCACTGAAGTCATCAACACCCAAATAGGGTTCCTGTTTAGGGCAATGTTTCTCAACCATAACAATTTTAAGATGTGTGGATTTTGACTTCCAGAATTCCAGAGTTGGCTGGGAAATTCTGGGAGTTGAAGTCCAGACATCTTAAATCTGCCAAAACTGAGAAACTTTGCTTGAGGGGGAGGGGAGAAAGGAACCTTAAAGGAACCAAAGATTAAACTGAGTTTAAAGACAGTTTCTTGGGTGCTAAGGAGGGTGCAATGCCATGATGCTTTCTCAAAAGGCAACTGAATTTCCTTGTTGTTTTTTTTCTTGAAGATGTTTCACTTCTCATCTAAGAAGCTTCTTCAGTTCTGGGTGGATTCTGAACATTCAGTCAGAACTGAAGAAGCTGCTTGGATGAGAAGTGAAACGTCTTCAAGGAAAAAAAACCAAGGAACTGGGGCAAGAAGGGTCATAAAATGGGGCAAAACTCACTTAACAACTGTCTCCTTAGCAACAGAAATGTTGGGCACAATTGTGGTTGTAAGTCAAAGGCTACCTGTATTCTTGATGACCTTCAATCTCAACCGGTGTTTCTCAACCTTGAATGTTGGCTGGGGAATCCTGGGAGTTGAAGTCCAAGCATCTTAAAAGTTGTCAAGATTGAGAAACACTGGATATTAAAACCCACAACATTTGATCAGATTACAGTGATACGTATGGCTTACATGCAGAATATGGATGACAGTAATTTGATAACCAGGTCAAGCAGCTTGTGGGAACGCTCCCAGTGACGAGACCCCTTTGAAAAACTCAAGCTAAGCTCTTAAGCCAACATTGGTAGTGTCATGCCCCTGTTGGAGTCTGAATCCAAGGAGGAAGATGAATAGCTGACAGGCAGTGGAAGTGTGGCGCCATTGGCTGTGGAGGAGGATGGGGAAGGGCAAAGTCCGGCTGGGCAGAGCAGGGGAGAGATAGAACAAGGGAAAGGGGAAGACCCAGGCCCACCCCCTCTTCATCCTAGGGCATGCAGGAAGGAACAGAGAAGAGAGCAACGTGGGTTGTGTTGCTAATGGGGGAGGAAAGGGCCCTGATTCCCTTCATTAGCCACACCTGAGAATGAAAGTTTAAAAGAACTGAATGCTGACTGCGGCAGCTGCTGGGAGCAAATGTGACTTTATCCTGTGTTTTCTTTGCTTATCTGTGTTCCTGGTGTCTTCCCAACCATGTGAGTTTTGCCATGCCTTTCATGTCTGGAATTCTTACTCCTGCCCTGCCAAACTAATTACCTCAGTTTGGTTTGATTGGACTTAAAGTTACAGTTTGTGTTGACCATGTTTTGGACTTGATTCCCTGCAGTCAAAATCTGTTCCTGGGAGAGTTTTTCTCCAACCAGAAGGTAACCTGGACATTAGGGGCAAAGTTGGAGCTAATAAAGGGATTCATTGATTATCTGACTGTGTTGCCTTTGTGCCATGCCCTGGGTCATCACAGGTAGTGCCTTAGAGGCATCCGAGTGAAAAATTCAGGAAGATATTTGCGGAAAGGGCTCACGCACTTATGTTTGCTTGCCTTGCAGATGGCCGAAGATGGCATTGTCTCCAACACCTTCACCCACAAGTGCCAGCTGCCAATAGACATGGATCCTCTGTCTGTCAGTTGTTCCCTGAATGATGCTGGCAAGTTGATCATCACGGCTAGGAGGCGCCAGCTGTCCACATCACCTCTGTATCGTACGGAAGTGACACTCTAAATGTATCACCCAAGATAGCACATCAGCCCACACCTGAAGCTCCCTTATACATTGATTCTTAGTTTAGTTTGTGGGCATCCTTTCTCCATGCCATGCCATGCCATAGCACCACACGTGGCATTGGCATGCATTCCTTCAACGTCCATTTGACAGAAATAAAACCCTATGGTAGTCCTCGGCTTACGATTGAATTTTGGACAGCAACTTCCATCCCTAAGCGATGAATTTATTGAGTTGTTCCCGATTCTACGACCTTTTTCTTCTTCTTTTTTTTGGCCCACGGTTGAGAAACGAACCAGTGCAGTTGTTAACTTATTTTTCTCCCTGGTTCAAATAGGTTATTCGTTTATCAAAATATAAAATGCAAAAATACAACTAAAAATAAGGATCGTGGGAAAATTAAAAGGAGGAAAAGTGGAAGAGAGAGAAGTGTAGGGAGAAAAAAAAAAAAAACCACTGACTTCCGATTCCTTTTGGTGCAATAGAATAAGCTGGCAATGTAAAATCTCAACCTTTTACTTTTATATGGGAATACAGTGGAACCTTGGGTTGCGATTATAATCTGTTCCCAGGACTACGATCGCAACCCGATTTGGTCGTGACCGGAAGCACGACTGACTGCGCATGCTTGAGCACAAAAAATAAATAAATGGTGTGTGAAATGGTGCGGTGGGGTGGGATTAAATTTTTTTAACAACCGGTTCCGTGGGCATGGCTAGGTGGGCGTGGCTATGTGACTGGGTGGGTGTGGCTTTTTTCCAGCCCCTCCCCTGTTTTTGCTCCCAGAAGGCCTCCCTGGGGCCCAGGAAGGCAAAAAACAGATCCCACTCAGGAAACAACTGAATGGAAAACTGCTGGCGATCTTCTACCGCTGCACCATAGAGTATTTTAACATACTGCACCTCTGTATGGTTTGCCAATTGCAGTGGCAGATAGGAAAGAGCTCCAGAGGGGTAATGTCATTGCCCAGAAGATCATGGGTTTCCCTCTCCCCTCTTTGGAAGAGGTTTATAACTCCCGTTGCCTTAAAAAAGTTCAAAACATCCTCAAAGATCCATCTCATCCTGGGCACCTTAGGCAGACGGTACAGAGGCTTCGTCCATTCCTCTTCTGGGTTTCTGGCGCGTGCGACAATCAGCTGGCCTTCGCGTGTGCGACAGTGCCGGAAGACCGAAGAGCTGGTCTTCCATTTTCTGCCGTGCACATGCACACCGGCCATGTGTTCGTCATGTACGCATGCACACCGGAAATCAGAAGGGCGCGCACTGGAAGCCTGAAGTTTATTTCCTAGCATGCGGCAAGCCCCCTGGGCAATTCTTCTTCCAGGTTTCATCCCCAACAAGTGCATGCATGCACATGCTCCCTTTTTGGCTCTCGGCGCCGAAAAGGTTCGGCATCCCTGCCCTACACCATCCCCGACCAATGGCAGTCCAACCTCCCCTGGAATATACGTAGTTCTTGACTTACAACCCCAGTTGTTGAGCCCAAAATTTCTGTTGCTAACCAAAGACAGCGATGTGAGTTTTGCCCAATAATAATGGATGAAAACTGAACAAGGATTCAACCTGGAAATAAGGAGAAACTTTCTGACAGTGAGAACAATCAACCAATGGAACAGCTTTTGTCTTCGGAAGTTGTGGGAGCTTCATCACTGGAGGCTTTCAAGAAGAGACTGGACTGCCAGCAGTCAGAAATGGTGTAGGGTCTCCTGCTTGGGCGGGGGGTTGGACTAGATGACCTGCAAGGTCCCTTCCAGCTCTGTGAGTTCTGTTAGCCCCATTTTACAATCTTTCTTCCCATAGTTGTTAAATGAATCAGTGCAGTTAAGTCAGGGTCCAAGGAACTTTGGATGCTTTTTTGGTTCCAGGCAGAAATCCAGAAAGTTTATGTATGTAAAGGAGTGGATTAGCATTTAAATTACAGTAATTAAGCTTTAAATCAAACACTTTAAAAGAGACTCATTTAAATGATTAAAAGCAAGGCTGCCCGCTGGTTTTTTTATTCTCTGGGAATTGTGCTACTCAATCTTGTGATTTCATAACTGAGCAAAGGACTTATGTAGGCAGCGGTTTTATTCTTACCATCAACCCCTGGTTTTGTCTTCCAATACTCGCAGCAGATGATTGCTGGGTTTTGCTTTGGGACCCGCGTAGGAGGGGGGGGGGAAATGCCACAGAGCTACTAAGTTCCTGCAAATGGATATGCATTTCAGGGTCAGCCAAAAGACTCAAGTGCAAAGAGAGAAAATACAGAGAGATTTTGGGAAGAGATGGAAAAGAGATGAAGACTAATTCCTTGTATGTTGAACCACACTTGGCCAATAAAGAATTTTTCTATTCTGTTTTATTCTATTCTATTCTATTCTATTCTATTCTATTCTATTCTATTCTATTCTATTCTATTCTATTCTATTCTATTCTATTCTGTATTCTATTTTATTTCTATTCTAATTCTATATTCTATTCTATATTCTATTCTATATTCTATTCTATTCTGTATTCTATTCTTATTCTATTTTATATTCTATTCTACAGTATATTCTATTCTATTCTATTTTATTTCTATTCTAATTCTATTCTAATTCTATTCTATTCTACTCTACTCTACTCATTCTATATTCTATTCTATTCTACTGTATATTCTGTTCTATTCCACTCCACTCCACTCTATTTTCTAAAAAGGGGTTGTGGGAAGTACACCCCAAAAGGACAGTGCCAGAAACCTCACAGCATCAGAAACCTCAGAAAACAATGCCAAGAAACTCAAGACAGCCCCCTTCCCTCTTTAAGAAAACCAAGAATCACCAGCTGAAAGAAAGAAAAAAAAACTCAGAGCAGCCCTGCTAACAGAGCGACAATAGAAACACTTAAGTAGAGCCATTAAGATAAGGAGAATCAGGCTAAAAATAACTCACCAAGGCAAAAACAGAACTTCCCCTTTTCTGCCCCCTGACAAGATTAATCCCCAGGATCAGGAAAGACAAAGGTCCTGGGGACAGGATCAACCCATTAAGGTAGGAAGGGGGATCACTTAGAGGCACACAAATAAACCCATCAAGCTGCAGGAACTTCGAAGCATAAAAGGCTCATTCCTCCCCTCCCCTCCAAATCTGCTTGCAAGCCAGAAACACTGGAGTTGTGTCACTACTTTTTTTGCTTTACTGAATTAGATCCCTTTTCTGGTAGCTGGCTTCCGTGTCTATTTCTTCTCAGCATCAGTGACTGCTTCCCAGCTGGGAAATGAACTCAGGAAATTTCTTCCAACAGGGTTATAGTTTGTTCATCTTTCCTTTCCCTCCAGTTTAATCTCACCTAACATAGAAATTATTTAAAAGAAATTTGGCATTCTCAGTATTAAAGGCTTTG